CCCCCCCCCCCCCCCCCCCCCACTTGGAGCGTTACGTAATTGAATCAGTGGGAACGAAAACACACCAACTCGATAACTCGAAAATGCTCGATTTTCATTAAAGATAGTCAATTTCCATAAAGATCATTGAAGTTAGGACGTCTGTTCCAACTCAGACCTTCAAAGTGTCCTTAAATACTTGTCTTTCGACACCAAAAATCTTTTTCTTGGACTAACTTCTACACTTACTGTGCAGTTTTGTGTGTGTCTTAATTATTTTCATTTTTTCGAGTTGGTGCGTTTTCGTTCTCACTGATTCAATTCAGGCATGGCCCTAAGTAGAAACAATATTTTTCTTAAACTTGGATTAAAATATTATTTTTCAACATAATTCGTGCACACGTGCGAAAGTTCAAGCCGGAATAATAATTCTAGCCAAATATTTGTTTCCTTTTTCAATCATGAAATTGAAATTTGGTGCGTGTAGTATTATTTCTGGATGGAGGCGATTTTGTTTACCTGCGTGAAATTCTCACATAGGTGCTGAACTGGAACAAGCGAGAAGTCTGGCAGGTTTGCGAGTCACAGTCATATCCCCGGGCAAAGTTCAAGACGAGGACCAAGAGGACGCTGACCAGGGCTTGCAGAGCAGAGGGAGGAAGAAAAAAACAAACTTTAATATCGGCATTCCTATCCCGGTGGTGATCAGTAGAAAACGGGAGAAAGTTGTGGTCTACGATGCCTACGGGAGGAAAAAGAATTTGCCTCCAGGCTCGTACCATCCCGCGTATCCCCACGTCCCTTACCCACAATACCCTCCGCACCCATCTTATGCCTATTACAACTACCCTGGCTCGGATAGTCAGCTCCCGGATGGGCGAGAATGGATGGGCTCTCACCACCAGAAATCATACGTGACTACTGCTGCCGCTCTGGATGCTTTCGAGGAGCTTCGCAAATACCCCCCACTCACCCCAGACGGGCATGTCAACGGAAAAAACGTCAGAAAGCTCGCTAGTCAAGGCTTGAAAACGTTGCGGAAGATTGCATTTTGGAGGTAGGCAGCTAAGAATCATAAGAAATTAGAAAGGATTTTATTGTTAGTGTAGGTGCTTGATTCCCGAGGGGTTGTGATTTGAAAGGGGATAGTGGCGGTTAGGTGTCACAGAGCGCTTGGGATTGCTGTAGGTAGTTAGCATATATCAATGGTGAAACTATCAAACCACTTATTTCGGTTTGCGACGTTGCAGACTTCCTGTCATACTTTATTATTTAAATAAAACACTACTCAACGTAAATTCTTGAAAGTTTCCGTGATTTATTTTCTCCAACTGAGGAAAACTCTGTGTAAACTTCAAGAAATAATACTGATATGTTTACCTTCAAAAAAATAAAATGGGGCGGAGATTTTTATACACCGCAAACGAATTACGTGGTTTGGTAATAATTATCATCGTCGATATATATTTGAACTAGGATACGTCAAACAATTCCGGCAGTGTGGCCTACTCTTGTACTAACTTAGCACTAGGAAATCGTGGGATCATATACCGTATTGTTTGAAAACTTGTTGACTCGCTCAAATTTACAAGAAAAAAAAAAAATGATAATAATTTTTGGTCTGAAAATGGACGATTTGGAACGTGGTGTTTAAGTGTTTTTTAGACAATGCTAGAAATTTCATGACGTTAAGTGCTGATGGATGTTTTCTATGAAGGATTTTAGGATTGACGAGAAGACAGACGTTAAAGCTTTCGCCAGAGTAATTAGGAATTATCTGTTAAGAAGAACATCTACTCCATTCTAAGGCTGGCAAAGTAGTTGACAAATATATTGAAAGAAAAATTCCGTCATATGAGCCGTAGGTATACGGTGTTGTATTGCATATCAGCCGCACTGTTCGGTTCACGTAATGGACCACTAGATAAGGTACGAATTTCAGCATTCTGATACATGTTTTTTAACAAAAATTTCACGTAAAACATGATGCACACAACGAAAATTACCGACATTAACTCCTTACGAAGATATTTCATGATTCTCGGTGCGTGAATTCAAACCACCCGCTCATGAAAACTCTATGCTCTACATGATTCACATCAAGCGCTAGACGTTATCATAACAGTCTCTACGATATATGTACAAATCAGGCAACCTCAATCTTGACGCTTTGGCTCAGCTGTAACAAATTGCTTATAGTTTGAACAACACATGGTGGGACATGAACATTGCTCGACTGAGGAGCTTGCCGAAACCGTTGTAGTGCGAAATTTGATACACGTAGAGCTTTGAGTTTCTTGTGAGCGGGCAGTTCAAATTCTTCGTAACCAATGTAAAATAAAATCGTTAATATCTTCGTTAGGAGTTGGTTTAAGTAATTTCCGTTGTGCGAATCGTGCTCTACGTGCAATTCTGACCAGGAAACATGTGTCAGAATGCTTAAATTCGTACCTTGTCTAGTGGTCTATTGTACTGTCGATTATGAGAAGTGTATCCTCGGGTGCATGCAACCGAAATTTTTTATAGTTCGGTTTGGTATGACAGTGTTCGGCTGCATGAACTGAGGATAAGATTCCTAGTACTAATAGCACGGTTATATGAACCATCAAATTCTTCGTGTTATTATTCTTGTCCGCATATCTTCTGCTTGTTATCGAAGTGATTATTTTTCAAATTTCTCTGTAAAGACGTTAATAACCTGTGACGCTGAATGTCTTAAAATATACCAACTAACTAACTAACTAACTAACTAACTAACTAACTAACTAACTAACTAACTAACTAAGTAACTAACTAACTAAGTAAGTAACTAACTAAGTAACTAACTAACTTATTGATGGAAAAAGTGGTAATTCTCTCTTCTTCTTTTACATTAATTCAACGATTTTGTTTGCCATGTATGTATTTATTTTGACAAAGTAAACAAGTTTTAATGACAAATATTATAGGTACGTCCACCCCATCCAAGACCCGCAGAGACCTTACAGCCGCAGCAGTAGTGGGAGCGAAACAGAAAATACCGACGAAGCAGAGGATGGCAAACGTCTCCGAAGGAAGGAGAGTAGCGTTTCACCGAAGCAAGAGAAAAAATCATCGAGAAGAAGGAGAGAAACGCCTACCAAAAAATAGAACTCAAATCTTATTAGTACGGTATTGTTTATATTTTTGAAACTCATGGAAGGTGTGTGGCTCATAGTTTAGGAGAGGAAAGCAATTAAAGAGAAAGATATAACTCTCTTCTGTGTATTCTGCCTCTGTTTCTGCTCATACAATTTTCAAAATTTATATCCGGTCAGAATCGACTTTGTAAAAATGGATAAGATTTTGAAATTGAATATATCTCTAAATTACAGAAAACCCCTTCTAAAAATTTGATAATTTTTCGCTTGTCCGCCAAAATTGCTCGCCGAAAGTTTCCAAACAGGTAAGTTACTAAGGGGTCAGTTGAAAGTAATCATTAAGGGGCCTAAGATTCTTTTCCGTTTCTTGGTTTCACTTGAAAACTATGACTTTTTAGAAAAAATTAATTGGGTTCGAGTTCAACCATTTTTCCTCTCAAGCTTGATGATTTTGGTGTATAATTACATTTTTAGCCCTTCTGTGAACTTTTATGAAAATTAAAAAAGCTTTTATCTGCAGAGAAAACCACATTCAGTCCATCAGCTAGGCCTTCAAAAAAGTTAGAGGGGATCACATAGACATTTGATTTGTTGAATTTACATACACTATTTCAACATTTGTGAAAAAAACAAAAAAAAACCTTCTGGCAATTTCCGCGATCTTGATTACCTACGTACTGCAATTAGTGTTCCAAAAATGCATATGCCCCGCTTTTTAAAAACTATTAAATAAAGTAAAAAAACATTTGTGGGTCACGATTCAGAAACTAACTGGAAAAAATAATAAAATGCTCTACGGCTTTATCCCAGCAAACTTAACACTGAAACTCGATGTTGACGGTAACGCCCGCGCCCTAGGAATGCGACTATTCATGCTCAACCGCTGTCTATGTTGCGTGCTCCTGAATTGAAGGCGATTTGAGTTTCGTTATTTCACAGCGATGCAAAGCGCGCATCATGGCGTTGTGTACCTATTTCTTTGATAATATAGAATGTTGATATGATACTTTCATGGAACCAGTAATTCAATACATCCCGACATGATTTCTGTAAATTTTTATTATCAATATATGTTATCGCAAACATATTCATTGGAGTTGTTTTGAAAAGTAAAATGTATAATTACAGTTTCGGTTTGACCTCATTGAAGTTATCATTTTTACTCATGGTGATATCATTATGACCTCACATCAGAGAACCGGCCAAATTACAAAACAATATTTTAGTGTCGACTTCACAAGGGGATGGGAAGTGGGCTAGAATCGTGGACGAGTTTAAATTTTAATGGAGAAATCCGCATTCCCGAGTGTCAAACCTCCAAAAGCCCTTCGGTATGGGAGGAGCTCTAGTAGATGGTCACGGTGCGCAGCATGCAAAAACATTTTCCAGGAGAATTTCGTCGCAAATGCTCTTTGATCAGCAGACGTTGACGACGTTTGGATCCTCGAGCCTCCCTCGGCGCGCTGTTTCCGGTTCCTGATTTCCGGGGTTGCAACATAGTGCAAGCCTCCCTCAGATAGGTTGATGTGAGACCAAAAGCAAGTGAAATTTGTTGTTCCGCGCAATATTGCAACTATACACGCACTCTACAATTAATTCGCCGAATGTTCAGTTGATGCCAGTAAAAGCAGCCGCTTTTGCCTCGAAAATTTCATTTCCTTTTTAATTCAATCAAAGGCTGCTTTGATTCTGAAATAGGCCGTTTGGGCACGTCATCGTCATTTTTAATTATCCCCTGTCCGGCCTTAAATGAAACAAGGGGCTGAAAGTATACAGCGGAGCAAAATGTAATAATGGATGTAGTCCCATTTATCATCGTAATTATTATGAAATATGCATTTTTACCTGGAGGCATTTTCTTTGATCATCGTATTAGCCTAAGCGAATAAATACGCGTGCGAACTACGATCGGTTTATTTTCTGCTCCCGGGAGTTCGTGAAAATAATGATCTAGTTAGTCAAATTATCAATCAGTCTGATTTAAGAAGCTGCGGAGATTCCATCAATTTCCTGATTTGGGTTTTTTTCTCTTTTTACACCGTGGTCTTGACGATAGCTACCTTGAGATAAATCAAGGTATTTTTTATATTCGTTGGACTTTCTTTAGTTTTAATGGGACATCACCTTTCAAAAATCATATTCTTAAAAACTGGATAATATGTTCCAAAATGCATAATCAAATTTTAAGATCAAAGTACCTAAATGTAAGGAACAAAGCACGACTACAGAAAAAAACCGACACTGTTTGATTGATGATGTATCAATGAAACAGTGATTGATATAGAATAGAACTAAGGGCCTGTGGCCGCTACGTGGCCGCCAACCACCGAAAAGAAACTATGCGTAAAAAATCGTAGAACGACCATGTCCAATTGTCCATGTTATTTTAGAGATGAGTGGATTCAAAAGCCGACGGGTGCAAGCAAAAGAAAACGTATTCATCTCTGATTGCACCACTTTTATGTTTCGTTTTTAATGAATGTTTTTAAAAATCTAAATACAGTTTTCCAGAAAAGCTCCCGCGAATTATTCCAAGTGATTTCAAATAAAAGCAGCAAAAATTTCGACGCCATATTTTCGTTCGTTCTATTTCCTTTTTATGTACCCCCCCCCCCAAAAAAAAAGTGTCAAGAATGATGACACGTGGCTCTTGTTTAGCGGCAGCTTCAGCGTCACATGAGCCAAAGAGGGGAACGCGGTGGAGTCATCCTCGCAGTGTGACGCGCCTTCCATCTGACTAGCGGCAACATGCCTTCACCCTCGGTCGAATAGGTATATCGTCACGCCTGCGTGAATGACTTCAAATATCGACGCTCGTACTCGAAAAGAAGTATTCTTATCTCCAATTGCAACGTTACATATATCTACTCATGTTTTACTTTTAATAATTCTTTTTAAAAGGGTACACACAGCCGTAAATGAAATCGAATGTTGAAGCTGATTATTTCCCAACTCACGTTTCAGTCGCATCTCTATATCACTGAAATATAGACTTGACACCGCTCGATGCGCCGCGCAGAGGGGTAGCAAGAAACATGCCCACGCCTTGCCGGGCGCCAACGCTTTACACACGGATTCTTCATGACTGAAAACACCGAAATTGCGAGGCAACGACGCACAGTTGAACGAGCGAATGGGCAAAGTCAGACATTTGCAACGAAAACTGGCAAATTTTGATGTTGGATTCGTCTGAAAGCTCAGTAGATGAGGTGCAATGAGGGATATTTAATGACGGGAAAGTTAACAGAGAGCAGGAAAATCTCCTCGATCCTTCGAGGATTGCAGGCTCGCGTTGTGCACTGGCACTGGTTGGATATTGCGTCCACCGCACTGCTGGTAGTGGGGTCGGACACCAAGAAATTACAACGAATAAAGCGCCCATTGTGCTGTGCGTGCAATGCGTGAGGTACTCCGACAGTCAAAATAGTTGCTAATACGCGAATCACGCCTACTGACCGACTGCACCGCGTTTCGCGTGATGCGAGAAGTATTCATGCAGTCTTGTAGGCGCTAATATGCGCGCCGAGCTGACCGCGCTGTTTGGCGCAATGCGTGAAGTATTCCTCCAGTCTTGCAGGCACTAATATGCGTTCAACGCCGGCCGCGTTGCGTTTAGCGCGATTATTCGAACTCGCGTTGGAATAATCGCGGCATCGAATATTGCGGGGTAAAAGGCCCATATTGTGTTTCGACATCGTATGAGCATTCCAACGTTGCTTCGTTTCTCCCGATAAAATATTTTTTCCGAGAAAAATCAGGAAAGTTCTTTATGTTCACTTTTTTAGATTGAGTGGACCATTAAACAAGGCACGAATTTAACCACTCTGATACATGATTCTTCACCAAAATCTCACGTAGAATACGATTTTCGTACAGGAAACTACTGAAATCCACTCCTAGCTAGGATATTAACGTTTTTATTGTACATGGGTCATGGGAAATTTGAATTGCCCGGCCACAAGGAAAACAATACCTTAGCCCACGCGACTACAACAGCTGTATAGCAGACTATTTAATCCAGCATTATTTCTTTCTCACCCTGTGTTGTTCAAAGCGTGTACAGCTTGTCCTAGCTGAGCCAAAGCGTCAAGATTGAGGTTGCCATATTTTCATATTGCTGAGGGTGTCATAATGACGTTCAGCGTGCAATTTAACCCTCGAGTTTTAACCCCCTTTTAACCTAAGTAAGTTATTCTCTCTTCTGTGAGCGGAAAGTTTGAATTCATTCACAAAAAACGCTTTTACTATGTTTAGGAGTTAATCTTGGGTTAGGATTTCGATCGTTGCTTATTGTTGTTTCACTCACAGACAAGCTGCCGCTTTCGACCTACCGCCCGCGGTGTACACAATGTCCGACCAGTGTAAACCGTGAGGCTACAACCCTAGGATCGCTTTTTTCCCCCGTTGTCTCCTTAGTCTATAGCTTTTTCGATCAATTTCAATGATCAGCAAGCAGGTATTTTGATGTTTAATACGAGTTTGATCATGATGATTTTTCTTCATGGTTTTTCCTCCGGAGGCGCACGACGGGTGACAAATGAAGTTACAACTACGGATCCACCAGAGAAAGGACAGCATGTGAAAGTATGGATTATGAAATGCACTTTGACAGAGGGAGGAGGGGGTGGGGGGAGGGGGCGCCATGAGGGACAGTTTTTCATCGGCACTCGTGGGAGCCGCGGGAGCAACGCACGGAGCAATTTTTCACAATCTGTACACATATTTGATGGAATAGACGGGGCTCAAAAAAGGGCGCCTCTTCTTCGTCACCAGCGAGGGAGGCAACGGCCCGGCGGCGGAGGGAGGGGCGGGGCGGGGGCGGGCCACGGAGGGCGCGGAAATTTCGCGCTGAATAGAGCTGACAGATGATCGATGATAATATCATTAATTCAACGGCTCATAAAAGAGCGCTCAGCAAGTGCATTAGTAAAAAGTAAATGCTTTGTAAATTCCCGAATCCGAGACTATTCTGCGGGCCGGCGCAACCCCTCATCCAACGTTGCTCCATCACCCGTCAGTCACTCGCTCTGTCGTGCCGAGGAAAAACAACGTTTCTACCGTTTAACGTTGCCAAATGCTGCAATGTTACGCTGGAAAACTCATTATTTTTAATTGAATTTTCCCAAATAGTCTCAATCTATCGGGAAGGGGGAGGGGGAATCCAGAAAAAACTGAATTTAGCCGCGAATTTTAAAAAACCGGAAGGCCTAGGAGTCGTGTTAATGAATCCCTAAAAATAGTTCCGTCACCAAAAACGAAAATTTTCGGCCCATCAATATCGTATAATTTGAACGTGGATTTTTAGCCTCAAAATTTTGAAAATTAGTGAGGTATTTGTGAAAACATACCTCGTAAACATTGAACATTTGAGTACCGGCCTAGGCATTTTATAAAATTCCTGATTTGACTATTTGCCTCCGACAGAAATCTTTCAAAAGCTTCTTTGAAAATATCATTTTATCTCATAAGATTTGGCAATATCCGATTTATCATGCGGTGTTTTTCCTTAGCATGGCATCATATTCCGTTAACAAAAATCTTTCTTCGCCGAACCACACTGCCGTCCCCGCAAGTCTCCGCTTGGGCGATGAAAGATCTGACACTTTTCCTCCTTGAGAGCTGCGTAAAGCATGAGGATAAATTGAACAAAGGGTTCACCTCACAGAGTGCTTAGGCCGTTACCTCTGCGGAATTGTGCGGTCGCTTTTGGCTCTCGCCGCCGCGCCGCACAGTTGAACGATCCGTTGGGAGAGGTCAGCGGGCTGGTTTATCAAAAATGATAGACAAAGAGGACAGAGAGAAAATATACGATCCTATTGGTTCAAACAAGTGGCTCTTATTACAGATAAAGGGTGAAATTACATGGGTTAAATATTAGGTTTCTAATGGGTTGCTGTTAGTAAGTCTACCACTTACATCCTTTATGTTCATTGTTATCATCCGCTGCCACCAATAGGATCGCTTCATTGTCCCTTTCTCTTATTTGTCCATAACTTTGTCAAATTCTTTGTTGTAACTCAATTTCAATAATCCCGTACATATGAAATTGTTGACTAAGACTGCAAATTTTGATGTTTATATTCCATTCCATCACATTATATATTTGAAGGAGTGCTTCTTAATGACAATATCAGTGGAAAACCA